ATTTCAATCTCTTTTGTGAAGAAACTCCTAATCTCATTGAATTGTTTGTCTGTGTTGTCTCGTATTTCGTTGAGTGTTTTTATGATAGCTATTTTGAAATCTCTGTCATTTAGGTTATGGATTTCTGTGTCTTCAGGGTTGGTTTCTGGGTGCTTGTCATTTTCCTTCTAGTCTGGTGATTTGATGTATCTTTGCATTGTGGTTCCTGTATTGGCTTAGTTTTTCCTCACCCTGGAAATCTCTGGTTGCAATTTCCACTCGCTGCCACTGTGTGGGGGTAAAGGGCTGTGTAATCTGAGCCCTCTGTGCTCTGCCGCACAGCTGTTTGCTGCCATCCGGATCCACCGGTTGCTTGGTCTGGTCTGGTCCGCTGAGCTGCAGGGTCCGGTTTGCCGGGGTGGTGGGGGGCACTCTGTCTTTTGCCCGCTGGGTCCCTGGCGTGGGGGGCTTCTCATTCGCCCCTCATTATCCGCTCTCTGGGGTGTTCAGATGTTGATGGTACCCCGTAGCAGCTCTGAGTCCCCCGTGTGGGAGTTTCCCACTGGCTGAGAAAGCCTGAAGAGCTACGGTTTCCCCGCAGAGGGCCGCCCGTCCCCCCTCTCTGGGAGCCACGTGGACCGGGATCGCTGATCTGATGGGGAGGGAGAGGAGTTCTCCTTACCTCTCCTCACTTCCTCCGGGGGCCCAGCACGTTCCACTCTCAGATGTGCGGTAGTGTGGATCTTTCCGATCTTGCTTATCACTGTCTGGGATTCCGTTGTTGGTCTGTGACTGTTCCTTTTGTTGTATCTTATCAGGGGAAGAGTTTATGGGAAAGCTCACTCCGCCATGACGCTGACGTCACTCCTCCATATTGTTTCTTAATGTGAAATTTGTAGTCTAGTCTAGTGCCATCCTGCTTTAGATATGTCTCTTTGTCTGTCTTTTCCATGTGGCTGCTTGAGAACCTTGTTTCAGACATTTCTGTATCCTCTATGTGGCACAGTGCTAGACTCGTGGCAAATCGTAAATGTTGGTTACTTGGATGAATGAATGCAGGCATGATTACAATGTGTTGAAGCTCACAGGTGTAAAAGAACACAGCTAGATGGGAAAATTCAAGTATTGTGGACTGGCAAGAGCGTGGGTACATGGCGGAAAGTGGCTGAGCCTGGGACAGAAGCTCAGCCATGAAGGGCTGTATGTGTCATGTGTTGTGCTGAGGAGTTTGGAATGTGGGAGAGGCTGAAGCAATTTTATCAGCAAATTGACATAGATTTGGATTTTTTCATACATTTTATTGTGGAAATTTTCAACCACATATAAAAGCAGAGAGAATAGCCTTAATGGACCATCATGTTCCCATCACCCAGCTTCAACAGTTATTAACATTTGCCAATCTTGTTTCATCTATCAAGTCGTATTTTCTTTTATTTTGGTTGGAGCATTTTAAAACAAATCCTAGCATCATGCAATTTTACCTGAAAGATTTGGATTTTTTAAAAGATAATAGATTGGTGGGAAGAGAGACTGAAAGCAGGGAGAATGGTTGGAAGGCAACTGCAATAGGCTGGATAAGAGATGATATGAGTCCTACTTGAGGCCAACACAGGGAGAATAGGGGAAAAAAAGATAGATTGGAAAGATGTTTTAGAGCCTGAATTCTCAGGACTTGGTAATTTAATGTGTCTGGAGGGAAGAAAGATGGTGTCTAAAGTGATGCCAAGAATTTGACTTCAGTGTATGGATGGATGATGGTGTGATTATCTGGATTTGGGTTCACAGAAGAACAGCAGTAGGTTTGGGGGAGGGCTTCAATTCAGATTTGGATATATTGAATTTGTGATAATGGAGTGTTTGGGCAAGGTACCTAGGGGAGCAATGTGACTAAAGTTCAAGAGTGTGGAGACATGGCATAAAAGGGAGTGGCTGTCTTAAGTCCCAGTTTTGAAGCTAGATAGGGTCTAGATAATGTTTTTTACAGAAGGACTTTTGGGCCTACTCAATTTATTGCTGGTCTATTTCTATTCTTTCTAGCCTTTCTCTAGATCCACAATTGAATTAAGCCAACTTAACACCAGATTCTCCCCACTGTACTACCCAAAAGGGAGTGTGGTGGACAAAATGGAGAAGCTAGTGATGGCACCAATGGTCTCTGCTCCAATCTCTAGTGTCTTTTCTCAGGATGAAAGTGGCTGGTGACCACTGTGATGTTAATTACTTTCTTCGATCAACATTTGACTGTCCTCATCCCATTTTCTATTGCATGCCTTGTTTTTAAGGGGAATTTGCAAGGGGTCAAATTGAGTCCCAGAAACCCATCTGAACACACAGGGTTTGCCTCATCGCAGCCTTATCCCCAAATTGGGACCATGTCGTCTGATGGTCTCCCCACCACATCCCAATCTGGCTAGATTCTCCCTGGCCCCTTTCTCCTGAGGCTGTTTTATCAGAAATGGCTCTTACATTGTTCATTTATATTAAACACCCAGTCAGCGGAGTGAAGGTCTAATTATTTTTGACTTAAGTTCTTTATTTTACTTAGGCAAGATTTGGCACTACTTGAAATAAAAATATTTCTGTGGCCAGATAGTGTAGACAAGTAGAAAATGATCCAGAGTGTGTTTTAAGCCAAAATATTTTCACTTTCTAGACCCTGAACATAAGTAAAATCATTATTTCTCTTTTTTAAAAAGAAAAAAAAGCATAATGATATTAGAAAAATTTCCTCTGTATAGGCTGCCAAATTACAACTAGCTAAGCATAAACAGAGCTTTAAGAAAGTCTATGTATTATCTTATGGGTATTTTGAGCAGAAAATAATGCCTTTTGGTTATGTTAAATCTACATATCTGCAAGCTGGAACAGTCATGGGTATTTTATGACATACTTCTATCACCAGTGTTTTAAATCAATCTCTTTGCTTTCATTTTTGCTATATTTGACTTAGAAAATAATAGTCCTCCCAGAGCCCAGGCTGGTGGCAGACATGTTCTTGTGCTTCCCAATAACTCCATTACTTTGGATGGTTCAAGGTCTACTGATGACCAAGGAATTGTGTCCTATCTGTGGATCCGGGATGGCCAGAGTCCAGCAGCTGGAGTGAGTACTTGAAAAGAATTGCCGCTGGACCACTTGTCATTATATCTGCATTAGTTTGCTAGGGCTGCCATACAAAATACCACAGACTAGGTGGCTTAAACAAAAGACATTGATTTTCTCCCAGTTCTGGAGGCTGGGAAGTCCAAGATTAAGGTGCTGGCCAATTTGGTTCCTGGTGAGAGCTCTCTTTGTGGCTCAAAGACAGCTGCCTTCTCACTATGTCTTCACATGGTGGAGAGGGAGAGCTCTTTGGTGTCTCTTCTTATAAGGACACTAATCCTATGGGATCAGGACCCTACTCTTCTGAACTCATTTAACCCTAATTACTTCCTAATAGGCCCTGTCTCAAATACAGTCACATTGGGGGTTAGGGCTTCAACATATGAATTTGGAGGGGACACAGATAAGTTCATAGCATAGCATAAGTTCTATTATGACCTCATCTCCCTTTCCATGTTCCCCACTAAGGTCTTGATGCTTCTAGATTTCCTCTGAGGGCTGGAGGCAGTAGGCTGCTGTTGGGTTTAAACAAAAGCTGAAGTCGTTTCTGACTTTTTCCCTGACCAGACTTTGGGTGGGGTAGGAAACCATAGCCTGGAGGGACTTTGAAGCCAAGTCTTTCCATAGGAATCATTCCATAGGAATCATCTTTCCTATGGAAAGATTGATTCTTTCCATAGGAATCAATCGTCTTTGGTCCAAGTGGATTCTTTCCTTTCCTCACATTGTACCAGATAGGTCAATAGGTCAAGGATTGCTGTTCCCATGTCACAAGTACAGAAAGTGAGATGCAGAGATGGAAAGTGACTTGGCCAAGGTCAACTAACTCATCCTTAACCAAACCACATAGATACTGGTTTTTAGTTCCTGGCAGGCATTTTCCCCCATTAGATCACTCTGCCTCATAGGCTATAAATTTGGTACATCTTCATTCCTGCTGTTGCTAAGGACTTGAGAGATGCAAATATACTCTTGGAGATGTACCAAAGGAGTGGTCACAGGGAAGGAACTGAAAATGCTTTATACTTTCTAAAGTACCTCTAGAGTGAATGCTATTCAGCCAGATAGTGGATTAACTTCTAAGTGTAATGATAACATCTCTCTAATCAGCACACTTGTCACCTTTTTTTTTACCACCGGCTTCCAGTTAGCAAGTTCAGAGGAGGGGTCTGGGAGGTTCCTGTCTAATTCTTTGGAGCTTTGAGCCCCACAGAGCAGAGACATCTCTATTCAGGCTCTTGGGTCATTTGAGAAGGTGAACATGGTATACAGTATGAGGGAACCCAAGAGAAGAGTATTGTAAAACTGTGTTTGAAAATAAGACCCAGAAAACTCTTCAGAGAGGATGCTTCACCCTTGGGCTCTCCACCCTAATTTCAATGATTTTCATTCTATTGGATGAAATTAATAATTTGGTAATTGCTAGAAAGCCCTTGGGAATCTCAGCTCAGAAGTACTGTCTGAGGAATTTGTTTCTCCTGGTGCTTATGTGGAAGAGACGCCAAGGAGTGCTCCTATCTTCAGCTCACCCACCACCCTGTTCCTCTCCAGCTAGCCCCTTAAAAACATGCATACGTTCAAAAGATGGGACACCGAGGTTTGGGATCAACAGAAGCCTAGAATTGAGAGCTGAGCACTGAATCACGAATCGTGTTATTTCACAGGATGTCATCGACGGCTCTGACCGCAGTGCAGCCCTGCAGCTGACCAATCTGGTGGAGGGAGCCTACACTTTCCACTTGCGAGTTGCTGACAGTCAGGGGGCCTCAGACACGGACACTGCCACTGTGGAAGTGCGGCCAGGTGTGCGCGCAGGTTTCTGTGCCCGGGTTAGTGGTGCTGGTCTGTGCTGGGGGTGGTCAGCCTTTGGGGCTCTCTGCAGTTCACGGGTGGAACCCAGTGTGGGAGGCTTCCTGTGGCTGCTTCAGCTCTTGGCTGGGCCCACTTTGAGGCTTTCTCTGCACGTGGTTGCATATCCTCAAACAGATACAGCCTCATAACTCATTAAGAACTGGATGTGGCAACAAGAATCTCTTTTCACTTTTGTTTTCCTGCCAGAAGACAAGGACCTAATGTCAAATGGGCACAAGGGCTTCACTACTGGGAGCGCTGAGGGGGGCAGCTCCAATGAGGCGGCCATATTGACCCCCAGTGTAGACTGGGCTGGGCAGTGCCCACAGAGCTCGGAGACTGAGTTCCCTTCCCAGGGTGTATGAGGTGCCAAAATTTCAAGGTAGCCCAGAGGCCGATTAGGCACACCTGATTATCTTCTGGGAAAATAATTAATAGACAACAACCTGAGATAAAACAAGGAAAAAGTACTCTCAGATAGGGGCCTCTGTGGCATTTGGAAAAATTTATCTGAGTCCTGAAACCCAAATGTATACATTACACAGGGGTTGTTTAAAACTCTAACTTGCATACAGGCCTTGCTCCTTATCTTGTCAAGCCCGTGATTTGCAAGTGGAAATCCCGTATCTTCTCTTTCCCAGACCCCAGGAAGAGTGGCCTGGTGGAGCTCATCCTGCAGGTTGGCATTGCGCAGCTGACGGAGCAGCAGAAGGACACCGTTGTGAGGCAGCTGGCAGTGCTGCTGAACGTGCTGGACTCAGACATTAAGGTCCAGAAGATTCAGGCCCACTCGGACCTCAGGTATGAGCTGCACACCAACCCAGCATGAAGCTGTTAACTTCCTCTGCTTGTTCTGTACTGTTTTCTCATTCATATACTTTTTTTCTCAAAGGACGGCAGTAAGGACCACATCATTCTGGGTCCTTCCTATAAGTCTCAGTAAATGTTTGCTGGTTGAGAATGTTCTGAATGAAGGAGTTAGCAAACATCAGAGGGAGCTAGTTTTTAGCTCTGGTATCTCCAGAGGGCATGCAAATGGTCTGGGGCATGCACAGAGGACGTTTCACAGCCAGACTTCATCCATGCCCCATGTTCATGGGCCTGAGGCTTATCCCAGTGTGAGAGGATCATTGATTACCATTGCTGTCTTCTGGGAGTCTATGAGGCTCAACCTCTACCTTTATTTCTTATAACATTTATATATTTAATTGAGTGTTTATTTATAAACTCTTATCCAACTTATGAATAGTAGGGTGAGATGAGAGGAGAGAGAAAGAAAGAATATAGGATTGAAAACCTACCATTAATAGTAAATCCATTTGCCAGTTATTGTCAGCTATTCTGTTTAGGCTTATTTTCCCGATAACAGAAGTTTACATAGAAAAGTACTAAATTAAAACAAATTCTAGTTATTTTTTATAGAACTCTTTGTAAAATGGATCACACATTTCCCTTACTTATAAAATATCAAACACTGAAGCAAACGTGTCTGAAAATCGACAAAACCGAAAGTTGCTTCTTTGGTTTTTGCTTTTGTTTTTGTTTTTGTTGGGAAAGATTTCCACTGAGCTAACATCTGTTGCCAATCTTCCTTTTTTTTTTTTTCCTCCCCAAAGCCCCAGTACATAGTTGTGTATTTTGGTTGGAAGTCCTTCTAGTTCTTCTACGTGAGCCATAGCCACAGCATGGCTACTGACAGACAAGTTGTGTGGTTCCGTGCCTGGGAACTGAACCCTGGCTGCCAAAGCGGAGCATGCCGAACTTTAACCACTAGGCCATCAGGGCTGGCTCAAAAAGTCGTTTCTTTTAAAGATCAACGAGACTGATAAACCTTTAGCTAAACTGACCAAGAGAAAAAAGAGAGAAGACTCAAATTGCTAAAATCAGGAATGAAAGGGGATATTACTACCAACCTTATAGAAATGAAAAGGATTATACTATGAATAATTGTATGTCAACAAATTAGTTAACCTAGATGAAATGGACAAAATCCTAGAAAGACACAACTATAAAAACTGACTCAAGGAGAAATTAAAAACTTTAATAGACCTATAACAAGTAAAGAGACTGAATCAGTAATCAAAAAATTTCCCTTGAAGCCCCGGGCCAGATGGCTTCACTGGTGAATTCTACAAAACATTTAAAGATTTAACAGCACTTTCACAAACTCTTCCAAAAAAACAGAAGAGGATGGAACGCTTCCCAACTCATTCTGTGAGGACAGTTTACTCTGATTCCCAAACGTAGACAAAGACATCGCAAGAAAAGAAAACTACAGACCAATATGCCTTATGAATATAGAAGCAAAAATCTTCCACAAAATACTAGCAAACTGCATCCAACAGCATGTATTTTTATTTATTTATTTTGTTGAGATATAATTGACATATAACATTGTGTAAGTTTAAGGTGTACAACATATTGATTTGATATATTTATAGATTGCAGTATGATTACCTCCAGAGCGTTAGCTAACACTTCCTTCATGTCACATAATTATCATTTCTTTTTTGTGGTGGAAACAATTAAGATCAAGTTTCTGAGCAACTTTGAAGTTTATAATACAGTATTGTCTGTAATCACTATGCTGTGCATTAGATCTCCAGGACCAATTTACCTACTGGTTACAAGTTTGTACACCAAAACAACATCTCCCTGATTCCCCCACTCCCTAGCCCCTGGTAACCACCATTCTACTCTCTGTTTTTACAGTTGACCTTTTTTAGATTCCACATGTAAATGAGATCATACAGTATTTGTCTTTCTCTGTCTGGCTTAATCTCACTTAACACAATCCCTCAGGGTCCATCCATGTTGTCGCAAATGGCAGGATTTCCCCTTTCTCATACCTGAATAATATTCCACTGTGTATATATATATACACACCACGTTTTCTTTATCTATTCATCCATTGATGGACTCTTAGGTTGTTTCCATATCTTGGCTATTGTGAATAATGCTGCAATAAACATGGGAGTGCAGATATCTCTTTGATATCCTGTTTTCCATTTCCTTTGGACATATACCTAGGAGTGGAATTGCTGGATCCATCCAGCAACATATTGAAAGGATTATACACCATGGCCAAGTGGGATTTATCCCAGGAATGCAAGAGTGAGTCAACGTATGAAAATCAATACATGTAGTAAACCATATTAATAGAAAAAGGACAAAAACTGTATGATCATCTTAATATACACAGAAAAAGCATTTGACAAAATTTTCATGATAAAAACACTTGTTGTAGGTTGCATTGTGTCCCCCTAAAAGATAAGTTCAAGTCCTAACCCCTAGTACCTATGAATGTGACCTTATTTGGAAATAGGGTCGTTGCAGATGCAATTAGTTAAAATGAGGTCACACTGGAGTAGGGTGAACCCTTAATCCAGTGTGACTGTGTCCTTGTAAGAAGAGGAGAGATACAAAGACAGACACACAGGGAGAAGGCCATGTGATAACAGAGGCGGAGATTGGAGTGATATTTCTACAAGCCACAGCACACCAAGGATTGCCAGCAACACCGGAAGCTAAGAGAAAGGCATGGAACAGATTCTCTCCCAGAGCCTTCAGAGAGAGAATGTTCCTGCCATCACCTTGATCTTGGAATTCTAGCCTCTAGAACTGTGAGAGAATAAATTTCTGTTGTTTTAAGACAGCCGGTTTGTGGTAATTTTCTATAGCAACCTTGGAAACTAGTATAGATTTGAATAGAAATTTATCCAAAGAAGATTTACAAATGGCCAATAAGCATATAAAAAGATGCTCAACATCATTAGCTATTAGGGAATTGCAAATCAAAACCACACTGAGGGCCAGCCTGGTGGCGCAAGCAGTTAAGTGTGCGCACTCCGCTGCGGCGGCCTGGGGTTCCCCGGTTCGGATCCCGGGCACGCACCGACGCACTGCTTGGCAAGCCATGCTGTGGCGGCGTCCCATATAAAGTAGAGGAAGATGGCACAGATGTTGGCCCAGGGCCAGTCTTCCTCATCACAAAAAGAGGAGGATTGGCAGATGTTAGCACAGGGCTGATCTCCTCATAAAAAAAAAAAACAACAAAAAAAAACCACACTGAGATACCACTTCACACCCACTAGGATGGCTATAATCCAAAAGACAGACCATAATAAATGTTGGCAAGTATGTGGAAAAATTGGAACACTTATGCATTGCTGGTGGGAACGTAAAAGGATGTAGCCTCTATGGAAAACTGTTTGGCAGTTCCACAAAATGCTAAACATAGAATTATCACGTGATCTAGTAATTCCACTCCTAGGTATATACCCAAGAGAAATGATAAACTTATGTCTACACAAAAACTTGCACACAAACATTCATAGTGGCGTTATTCCTACAGCCAAAAAGTGGATACAATCCAAAAGTCATCAACTGATGAATGGGTACATATAATGAGATATAGTCATACAAGAGAATATTATTTGGCAATTAAAAGGAAGTATTGATACATGCTACAACTTGGGTGAACTTTGAAAACATTATACTAAGAAGCCAGACACAAAATGCCTCATGTGTATTCCGTTTATATCACATGTCCAGAATAGTCAAATCTGTAGAGACAGAAGGTAGATTAGTGGTTGTCAGGAACTATGGGGCCTGGGGAATGGCTGCTAATGGAGAGTATGGAGTTTCTTTTCGAGGTCATGAAAATGTTCTGTAGTTAGATGGTGGTGATGGTTGCACAACTTTGTGAATATACTAAAACCTACTGAAATTATACACTTTAGAAGGGTGAGTTTTATGGTAGCTAAATTATATCTCAATAAGAAGGTAAAAATAAAGACATGTCTGAAAGTTATTCTTTGTATGGTTGTGTCTGCACGCATATACACACTGCTCCTTTTCTCTGAAGGTCTGTCTGTCTGTCATCAGCTGGACTCTGAGACTGAAGAGCCTTTATTGGTGAACAGAAACAGATCAGTTCCTTGGCCCACAGGATACCCCCTTGTGTCCTCGCCCCAGAGCTGTGGCAGTCTGCCTTGCCAACTTCACAGGTTGGCCGGAGTGGACACGTCATGTCAGTCACCGCCTGACCATGTGGCTGCCCTCTCTCATTGTCTCCTCTGCAGCACCGTGATTGTGTTTTATGTGCAAAGTGGGCCACCTTTCAAGGTCCTCAAAGCTGCTGAAGTAGCGCGAAATCTGCACAGGCGGCTCTCAAAGGAGAAGACCGATTTCTTGCTTTTCAAAGTCTTGAGGATAGACACAGCAGGTCTGTCCCCTACCGAAATATTATTTATTTATTTTTTAGAGCCCAAGTAATGTAAGTATTTAATTGCTGTATATTCAGAACTGGATACCACTGAGCTAGACATCCCATCAAATTAAGTACAATGAGAACCTTAGAGAAACATAAATAATTGCCCATTGAGTTTAAAGTGAAAGATTTCTGAGACGAGCTGAAATGTGATCTGGTTCCAATATGGCAGGACGGTAGCCAGGTCTCATAGACTTTTTTGATTAGAAATTAAATATATAACTTAATTCCCATGGGAGTATTCCAATGGGATTATTCCTGTGGAAATATTCTAAAAGACTCAGACTAGCTAATCATGGCTAAGTTTTACTGGCAGGGAAAGATTTTCACTTTAGCATCCAGGGACTTGTTTTAGCATTTGTTTCTCCCTGCAACACATGTTTGCCAACTATGCTTTGTCTTTGAGGGAAACTAGAGAGCAACAACAGTCATCGGTCAAATTTTTTTTTTTTTTGATGTGGAAGATTGGCCCTGAGCTAACATCTGTTGCCAATATTCCTCTTTTTGCTTGAGGAAGGTGGTCCCTGAGCTAACATCTGTGCCAGTCTTCCTCTACTTTGTATATGGGACGCTGCCACAGCATGGCTTGATAAATGGTGTATATGTCCGCACCAGGGATCCGAACCTGTGAACCCTGGGCCACCGAAGCAGAACACGCAAACTTAACCACTACGCCACCGGGCCAGCCCCTCATGGGTCAATTTTTAAAATTGTACTCTCACATAATGGTCATTGTCAGAAATTTCATGCTTAAACTGTCAGAACGGTTTTAAAGACAGATAAATATTGGCTGGAAAAGCTGTATTTATATAATTTATTTACCTTGGACATCATGCCTTAGGTTGTGATGATGGTGTTGTGTAGACTATTGAATATTTAAGAGAGCTTATAAGTTCTTCCATTGTACCTCTTTTCTTAGCCCCTTGCTTGCCACCCCTTCCTGGCACCAAATGTGGAAATGTGGTCTTTGTCCAAGGTCTCTGTCCCCATCTTATGAGTAACATGAATCCCTTATTATCATAAAGTGGTTATTTTAATAGACACCGAGGAATGTGAGAGTTACAAGGAATATGATAATGTTTGGGTAGTAAAATTTAATTTGTTTCAGATATGTATCTACCCACAATTGACTTTCTCAACTGTAATATGGAGTAACTTAATTTTTTAATAACTCCTTTTTTCTAGCTAGAAAAGTAATATTTAATTATTATAGGAAATTTGGGATATCCATAAAGGCAAAAAAGTTAAAATAATCCTCTAGATTCTTGAGTCTAGAATTCTCACCATCCAAAGATAACTTTTGTTAATATTTTGATGTATTTCCTTCCAGTTTCCCCATCTCTAGAAACATTTAACACAATCAGGATAATTTGATATATATTTTTAATCTGCTTTTTAACTTCAAATCATATTACGATCATTTTCTCAAATTTAAATTTTTTTTTTTTTGGGAGGAAGATTAGCCCTGAGCTAACATCTGTTGCCAATCCTCCTCTTTTTGCTGAGGAAGATGGGCCCTGGGCTAACATCCATGCCCATCTTCCTCTACTTTATATGGGACACCGCCACAGCGTGGCTTGACAAGCCGTGCGTCGGTGCACACCCGGGATCCAAACCTGCCAACCCCGGGCCACTGAAGTGGAGCGTGCGCACTTAACCGCTGTGCCATCGGGCCGGGCCCTCAAATCTTTTCAAATTTATCCCTCAATAAGATACTTAGGGCCACTAAGTACTCCATCCTGGATATGTTCCACAATTCATGCAACCAGTTTTCTACTCAGTCTTTGAAGTTGATTTTAAATAATGCTACAGTGTAGATAAATCTTTGTTCATATCCCCAATTATTTTCACTGGATAAATTCTTAGAATTCATCTTTCTTAGGCCAGAGGGTGTTTTTGCCAAATTTTTAAGACTTTTGTTACCTGATGCATTTTGATGCTTCCTGATGAGATTGTCAATACTGAGAGATGATCCCTGGAACCCCTGTCCACACCATAAGAGGCTCTTGATTCAACAAGATGCATCTATTCAGGGCCCACGCTATGAAAATACACAAGCTGGAGCCAGGGCTTCCTCTTTCCTCCATGATAACCATAGCCTCGCTTGCTCCCTCACAGGTTGCCTTCTGAATTGTTCTGGCCACGGTCACTGTGACCCCATCACAAAGCGCTGCATCTGCTCTCAGTTGTGGATGGAGAACCTGATACAGCGCTATATCCAGGATGGCGAGAGCAACTGCGGTGAGTCCTGGTGTGGTGGTGGCATGAGCTTTAAGACAGCTCATTCTGAAATATCAGACATAGCTGCCTAGCTTTGCAGCTGTAAACATTCAACCCTTTTCTCACCTGAGCCAAGTGAACCAGCTCACTTGGCGGTGAGTTAAGATCCTCCCACAATTCACCTCTGGGTGTGTGTTTAAGGCTTTTCTGTAAAACTTGCTGATGAGGAAATTCCCTTTGGCAGAGCAGGTTTGGCTAACCATGGCTGGCATTGCTAAGAAAGTTGCTTTGGGTCACGTGGGTCGTGTCCAGATTGCACCTGCCTTGCCTCGGGCTCAGCGTGGCCTTCTGGTGAAGTGGCCCCTGTGTGGGCCTGCTGGAATCAGATCAACGTGAGAATTGGCCCACTCTTCCAGGCTGTCTGCCCAGGCAGGCGCCAGAAATGGGAGCCACCTCCTCAGCCGGCCAAGCTAGTGCCCTTAGGTCTCTTCTGGGGGGGAAGACTAGACTATTTCAATGCCAGTCTATTTCTAAGAGTAAATTTATTGTCTTGGAGACCCAGATGGGCATAATTTGCAGAAAAAATTGTTAAGAGCTGACTGCCAAATTATGTTCCCACTCACTACCATAAAAATGTGAAGATAGCCAGCCCTTGGATCATTATTCCAAGGAGCATGTATAACATTTAATAGAGTTAAACCTTGTGTCTTTGCTCTTTGGATTTCTCTGTTCCTGAATTGCTGCTCTGAAGCTTTTTTACACTGGATTTCCGCAAGGATGTGGAAGGAATGAAGATTGGGTCATTTCTGAATTGCTGTCTGGCTCTGTGAAAAGTGTCTTCTGGCTCTGTGAAAAGTGGCTTCATGCAGCCATACAGATACTTTATTTGCTTTATTAAAATCAAGCCAGAACTATTTTGGGGTGGAGGGTTGTGATTTTTGTGATTTTGGATTAAATATTTTGATGTGCCATTCACGGGTGTTTCAGAGGCATTACTTCTTTTTTTTTTTTTTTTTTTTTTTTAAAATTTTTTTTTTTTTTTTTTTTTTTCCCCCCAAAGCCCCAGTAGATAGTTGTGTGTCATAGCTGCACATCCTTCTAGTTGCTGTATGTGGGACACGGCCTCAGCATGGCCAGAGAAGCAGCGCGTCGGTGCGAGCCCGGGATCCGAACCCGGGTCGCCAGCAGTGGAGCGCGCTCACTTAACCACCAAGCCACGGGGCCGGCCCCTCAGAGGCATTACTTCTTACGTGATTAATTTTAGTTTTTTCCGACTGTTCTGTTCTCAAGTCAGCATAAATATGTGCTCCATGAGGTCCGTGAACCAACTGGACAAAAATAGGTTGCTTTTAGGTTGTTCTTCAATTACCCGTATGTGACCTTGCTTATCCTCTGCTGCCAGCCCAAGGAGGTGTGATCAACACCTCAGATGGCCTTTGGTTGCAAGGACTCAGAAATATGCATTGTGAATCATTGACATAAACTTGTTTTGCAGCAAGTATGTAACTGTGTCCACTCTGGTTTTGTTTTTCAGAGTGGAGTATATTCTATGTGACAGTGCTGGCTCTCACTCTCGTCGTGCTCACAGGGGGCTTAACTTGGCTTTGCATCTGCTGCTGCAAGAGGTACCTGGTGGGCTTGTTTATTTACTTACTTGACATCAAGACACATCATTAAATGGGATGTGACAGCTTTAGTGGCTTTTGCTTGGGTTTGTTAAACTGCTGAACTGTTTGACAATCACTTTTTTTATGAAGACAAACTAGTTTATTTTATTTTATTTCTTTTGTGGGGAAGATTGGCCCTGAGCTAACATCTGTGCCAATCTTGCTCTACTTTATATATGGGATGCCACCCCAGCGTGGCTTGATAAGCGGTGTGCAGATCCACACCCGGGAGCCGAACCTGCGAAGCCCAGGCTGCCAAAGCAGAGTGCACAAACGCAACCACTACGCCACCGGGCCAGCCCCATACTAGTCTTGAAAAGGACTTTATACTAACACTGCTGTATGATACACAGGAAAGTTAAGAGAGTAAATCCTGAGTTCTCATCACAAGGAGAACATTTTTTTCCTTTTTTCTTTTCTTTTTATTGTATCTATATGAGAAGATGATGTTAGCTGAACCTATTGTGGTAATCATTTCACAATATATGTAAATCAAACTATCATGCTGTATGCCTTAAACTTATACAGTGGTGAATGCCAATTATTTCTCAATAAAACTGGGGAAAAAAGTACTTTATAATGCATTCTTCCCCACAAGGTATATGTGCCTAGAGAATGGAATAATACTGGGGGCAGCTTTTTCTCATTGCAGCTCTCATATTTTCTAGAAGGTTCAATGATTCGGTATCAAATCTAATGTTATTTTCTATCAGTCTCACATTATGTTCACTAGAACACTAAGTGGCCTGACTGATCTGCCCGCAGTGAGAAAGGAGTCCTAGAAGTGTGCTGATACCAATTGTAGATTTTGATTATTTTATCTGTGTGAGGCAATAATCGAATCTACCTGGTTCTATTTAATAAATGTAAAACTTTAAGCGAGGCGATACCATCACCAAAGAGAAGTTTGCTTTAGGTTTTTCCTTCTTCCTTTTTCCATGGAGCTGACCTCTGAGGAGACCCAGAGCTGCCTCATTGTTGGAATCTTCCAGAACTCTGTGCCCAACTCTCTGTGTGGAGATTCGTAGGGATAGTGATTAGTCCTTCAAAGTCCTTAGAAGACAGCATTGGGTCCACTTATGAAACACTATAAAATTCTCTCCAAAGAAGACAGGATAAAAAAAATAATGGTAAACCATAGTTAATCCTTAGTTTTCATAGACCACTTATAAATTATTTTAGTTCTGTGATTACATTCCCAAAGGTAGGTGATGGAGAGCACAGGCACAGACCTCACAGGACTAAATTCCATTAAGTTTTCCTAGAACCGTCTGGGATGCTGGTCACGCTGTTGTGCTTGGCTTTAAAAATTCTGCAGCTTTGTTACATGTGTATCAAGGAGATGATAATGCTTGACTGTGAATATTTATTAAGTTGGCCATTGTGATTAATGGCTCTAAGTTCTTTATATGTAATATCTAGTCCTCCCATCAACCATATGAGAAAGGGACTATTCCTACTCCCATTTTACAGGTGGGAACATGGAGTCATGGAAATATCAAAAAATTATCTCCAAGTCACCCAGCTAGTAAGTGCTACACCCAGAGTTAGAGGCCCGTGCTCTGACCCACCACGCTATCAGAAAACTGCCTTTGTGCTATGAAACTACTGTTCGTTCTCTACACACCTTACCATGGTTTTGATGTGTATTTTCAAATAATCCTCTGAAGCATAGGATGAAGCACATAGGATGAAACAACCAGCCCAGTTGTTTTATGTGCTGTGAAAAAATAAGAGACTGAGTTGTTGCTAAGTAATTTTGGGAATTTATTACAATTTCTGTTTTTTGTTTTTTTTTTTCTGACTGCTAGTGGATGTCATCTTTTCATTCCTGCATCTTTGGATATTCCAGGGTAGTATAGGTTCAGGGGAAAACTTGCTCAGCCAGGTGTCTCTGAGGAAAGACTTACTCAAGCAGAAAAGCTCGCTGGGCCGACACACAGGGATTGAGGGTTGCTGTAGAGGTCCCTGGTGCCCCAGCCCGAGGCTGAGCTGAGAGCCTGCAGTTAGTGGGCCATGGTGGTGTGGCCGTTCCTACTCCTGAAAGTGTTTCCTCAAGATGCATGATGTATATCAGTCCCACTGAGCTCAGACCTGGCCGTGTATGCATATCATTAGTAAAAGATGCCTATCAATAGAATGTACTAACATTCTGAACGCAAAATGTTTCCTTTGGTGTCCTCCACGTTTTAAATCCTGGATCCCAGTTACCTTTCTGAGAATCTGAGTTGAGCTTTTCATTGTTCCTTTCAGACGAAAAAGGACTAAAATAAGGAAAAAAACAAAGTACACCATCCTGGATAATATGGATGACCAGGAAAGAATGGAGCTGAGGCCCAAATATGGTAAGACGATAGCCCAGATGATTTCCTGATATCTTGAAATGACTTAATCCAGGCATTTCCCTGAGAGTTTCCAGGGTGAAGGGAGAGCAGCAGGCTGTAGTCAGGACTTTAACTGGGGAGGAAGAATGAGACTGGGCTTCTGTGAAGAAAACAACCTATGTCAATTCCAAGGATATGCTCACCGGGAGAGAGTAGATGTATTATAAATTTAATGTCATTTTGGCAAAGAGCTTTGAGATGTTAATGGGTGAGGGATATGAAATGCCTATTATCAACTGAGCACCGACCAATGACTGCGAGACAAAGACTGCGTTTCAAACGGGTGTCCCAGGGCCTGGCTTTTCTCTATGCATGGCTGGAGGGTGCGGGGTCTGTGATGCTGTTTCACCCCAGCTCATCTGAATGCTGTTCCCTTTAGGTCTGCTACACAGAAACGCAGCAAAAGAACATTTAGACTTCAAAATCAACATTTTCCAGCACCTGCATTAGCCAATTAGCTGTCTATATAGATGCACACAAAGGGCTTTTTACAGAAAATTGACATTCTTCACAAAGTGAATGGGTCTCTATGCTTAGAACCACCTTGTCCACCTCAGTTAACTTTTTGATTCTCGTTTATTAACTGTTGGAGACTGATTAAACCCTCTCTGGCCCTCTGAGGCTGCTTCGCACTGATTCTATGGATTTGTTATAATTCTGGATTTATAACTAAATTAATTCTTACAGAGGGCCATAATCACTTTCTCAACGTTGTGAGATGCACACCAGTGTCCACAGTAAATGCTGAGGGCCTACCCTATGCCCTGACTCGGGGTTAAGCCCTGGAGGCGGAGAGGAGAATGGAGCACATGCCTGCCTTCATGGGAGCTCACAGCCCAGGGGAGGGTAATTATACCAGAGCCCCAGGAGTCCTACAGAAGCAGGGATGATATCCTGTGGGCACACAGGCTGGATGACTGATCGTGTATGGAGAGTGTAGTTAGGGACTTTGGCAGAAAAAGCTTCATAGGAAATACAAAAATTTGCGTACATTTATTGAGGGCTCACCATTTACCTTACATAATTTAATATCAGAGGTTTTATAAAGTGACTTTATACCTAAGAGCTCAAAGTGCTTTAGGTTGCGTTATCCAAACTATCTTCCTCCTAAAATACACTCATCCTTCTGATGTTCCTGTTTCTATCCACAGAGCCCCATTCTTATTATTACCAGGTTCTAAACCTCGGTCATTAGTACTTGGTCAGGGTGTGTTGTTCTAGCTTCAACCATCCCATCTTGCCTAGTCTTGCCCTCGTTCCTCACCATTCGCATCATCACCACCCTAGCTTAGATCCTTGTAATCTCACTTCTGGACTATTAATACTAACTATAATAGTCGACAGGTATTTAATGTTTAATATGTACTAGGTACTCTTCTAAGCACTTTACCCATTTAATTCCAATCCTATGAACAGCTCTCTGAGATATGTGCTATGATTATCCCCATTTTACTGTCCGTCTTCCTTCTCCTGCACACTATGTAGTAATTTCCTAAAACCACATTATAATCACGTTACTCCTTTGCTTATAGAATAAAATCCACACTTCACGGCTTACCTTGTACTCATGTGCTTTTCTGTGAGGTCCCAGCCTCTCTTTCATTATTTCCTCCAGGAATCATTGGCTCTAGACTGTTTTCTTCAAATATTTCTGGATGCCTCTGTATACTCTATGCCCTTCCCTTATTCTCCTGTCCATATCTACTATCTTCAAATCCTGTCCTATGTGAACCATCACTGAAGCAACCCCCGCTGATAAGTGTGTGCTTATCTCTTCTTGATTCATATAAGATTTATTTTTAAAAATGTCTTGCCTGTTATGAAGCATCTTCTCATGAGTCTTTGTCTTAAATGCTTAGACATTATAAATTCGTTGAGAGCAGAGATCATATCTTATACCTGTTCTGTCTCTTATTTTGACCCCTGCAATCACATATTCTACCAAAAATATTTAATTGAACCAAACAGTAAAATTATAACAGCTTTCATTTACTGAGTGCTTAGTGTGTGCTAAATGCTGGCCAAGAGCTCTCTACGCACTACCTCACTTATTCCTTATGTGGGGGAGGAAGAAATTTTCCTCTACCCTCTAGTTTCTTCTGGCTGATCTAAGAATTAAATTGACATGAGACAGATTAATGGGAGAAAATCAAATTTAATTTCATACATATGGGAACCCCACATACACGAGAGGTTGAGAGACAGAAAGGTAAAGTGAGGTCTATATGCCATCTTGAGCTAAGGAATGGGATAGGGGCCTGAGGCTTCAGAGGGAAGGAGGGTAATTCACAGGATGATAAGAAGAGCAGATGTTCTGTAACAGTTAGAGGTTTGCCCTGCCATACAGATAGGTCATAAAAAGTTATTTCTGGTAATAACTCTTATTATGGGCAAGGCCTCCAATTTAAATTCAAGGGAAAGGTAAAAATTTCTCTTGAGCCCGTAGGGTCTCCGTTAGCTCAAAATATTTCACATGCCAGAGTGGCACATCTAGAGGATGCCTGTTCTGAATCCCTCCACTCACCATAAACCCATGGAGTAGATGCTTCATCTCCCAACTTAATAGAAGCCTGAAAGCCCAGAGAGGTTACACATCTGTATCATGCCCGGGGTCACACAGCTGGTATGTGTCAAAGCTTGGGCTCAAGCTCCAGTGTGATTCCAAAGCCCTGTTATTACTCACTAGGAAACCCAAACCTCCTGCTGTGTTGTGAGCAATTGCTTTGAAGGTGCAGAGAGCACAACTCCGTGCTCTTCAACCAGGATGATAGCTGGGAGTGAAAAACGCCCTTTGTGTCTGTCCGCTTCTCCCTAGGCATTAAGCACCGAAGCACAGAGCACAACTCCAGCCTGATGGTCTCCGAGTCTGAGTTTGACAGTGATCAGGACACAATCTTCAGCCGAGAAAGGATGGAGAGAGGGAATCCAAAGGTTTCCATGAATGGCTCCCTCAGAAACGGAGCTTCCTTCAGCTGTTGCTCAAAGGACAGATAATGGAGCAGCTGTGAAACAGAAGGACCGCCACAGGAATCCTTCAATCCAGGACCAGTCGATAGGAGTTAAAACACAAAGCTAACTCTTGTTAGAACAGCGCATTAACGTCCTCTCACGCTGGGCTCGGTGTGCGTCCCCATATTTTAAAAAGACCTGTTTTGGGATTTTTGAGACACAAAACAAAACAAAAACCTTGCTCTTTTACCTGGGACACTTGTTAATAGGAATAAAGGCTGAGTAAGACGCTAAGGTATATACTTAGAAGAGTTTTGTGTTTCTGTAGCTGGCACAGTAGTATACTGCCTATGTTAAAGTAAAGATTCATACCTGTTTCTATCCGCAGACCCTTAGTTACACATGAATTTAAGTAGGGCTGATTTCTCCTAGGAGCTGTGATTGCCTTTAAGGACGACTTTCTGAACATGGTTTCCTTGGTAGGACCCATAAAGTCAGATGGCTGTGTGTACTAAAGAGTTCATCAGAGGTGCGGGTTGTCTTCCGTGCAGCAGCGTTTCTGTGCTGAACGTGACCCCTGCACAGAGCAAAGCCCTCCTGTTTTCGCTCCTTTGCTGTGGCCAACCGCCGTTTCTGTGCTCTTTCTAGAAAGCAGTTCTCGGCAAGTTCAAGAGCTCAATAAGAATTGTATTCTGAGAACTGGAGGCAATCGAAAGGGAGGTGAGGTTCAATGACCTGTAGGTTGAAAGTTGAACTGGCATTTTAACATCCTTTGCCTTTTCTTTCTCCTAGAAGAACAAACTACACTGAGGCCTCCCTTAGCCCCAGTTTACATGAAACACAATAAAAGTGATTATCCATTCATTAAACGTTTACTGAGTATGTACCATATTGCCATAGGTAGGGATAAGGACTCAGCAACTCTGTATATATTCCCACCTCGGAGATACAATGTCTTCATTAGGATGGTACGCTCCTGATCCTCGGCCCCTACAGGTACTTTCCATAATAACAACTTGACATAGACATTCACTTCATATGTTTAAAATATTTATTAAACAGTTTTTCTACTAAATAAGTCATTTTAAATGTATGAAAAACACCCATCCCCAACCACAAAGCAGCACCCCAGAGCAATGAACTGGAGTTAACTGTAGCCTGACAAGTTGGTTGGCTGATCATAGTTCCCCCTCCACCCCTGGTCCTGAGGCTGGTGGCCTGGGTGGTGCCCTTGGCATTCTTTGTGAGAAGACTGGGACGAGAGGCGGGGCCCATCACGGATAGAGCCAGTGTTGTGGCGTCCGGCATGACCGCACCTAAACAATATTCTCTTGCACAAGTTTCTGGAACATGAGGGAAAAACTAAGATTCCTTTGCTATGGTGAAGTGAAGAAGCAAAGCGACTAAACCATCAGGTTTAAATCACCAGGGCTGGAGCCAAGAAGAAAATAGTTCCCGTGGGCCCTTGAAAAAAATAAGCTTTCAGGTGCTTTTGTTCTCTCCAGTAATATTCATGCTCATGAGACCATCTTGTTTTCAATTATTGTACTTTATGGGGAATGGCAGAACTAAAAAGTATAGGAGTGTAATATATTTTTAAAATAATTTTCTTTGCTTATGCTGATACTTTCTGTATTGCTAGCCAGTTTAACACTACCTATGGTGTTAGGAGGAAAATGTGATGCTTTTTACAATATTTATCTTCATAAACTTAAAATATGTCCTACCTAGTGACCAGGGTTATGTTATTTTTGTGCAAAACGAAATTTCTGGCATAGAGGATGGCAGCCCAAATATGAGGTCAGTAGAGTACAATGAAGAAGGGAGCCATCATTTGTTAAGGGCTTTATGTACATAATACACGCATCTTACATACTCAATTGATCCTTACAATCATCCTTGAAAAGGAGATGTTATTGTTCTCTTGTTGCAGATAATGATCTAAAGGCCCAGAGAGGTTAAGTAACTTGCCCAAGGTCACAGCCAAAAAGTGGTGGATCTGGGAATTGAATGCAAATTTTTAAGCTGCCAAGTTCATGCTTTCCACCCACCTCCCTCCACTACACAAAGAACTCCGGCCTCAACTGTTGGAGGGCAAATTCTGGTGGACCTTTTGGACCATCTGCTCCTAGGACTAAGAGGAATTGCTTTTGATGTGTGAAGAGAACAAAAGACAAAGGGAGAGAAGCTTCTTTGTCTCTTCTGTGGGATCAGCCCTGGGCCACCCCTCCTGGTTTGCAAAGTGCTGCTTCTGCCACTCCTTTCTGCCCCTGGCCTTCCCAGACTGGCCTGTCTAACCCTTCCACACAAAAGGATCTTGATGCTACGGTGAATCAAAAATAAACACAATAGTGATCAGAAAGTGGGTCCTCTCTCGTTATCCCACTTACTTATCAGAGGAGCAGAGCACGAGACAGAATGACAGACAGCATTCTTTGTCTGGTGTGCTCATTATTAAGAGACTTTGGAAGGTAAATCTCATCAAGAGCTTTCGATAGACAGAAAAGCAGGGCCCTAGAATGTGGGAGAGGGCATTTGTAGGGCTTACAGGCTAACAAGACTCTTAGTTGCTGGTTAAAAATCAATGAAGGAGGATTCAAACTCACATTAAGAGCCCAAGCATGTTTATGACTAAAGAATATGCTGGAGGTAAGAAAACATCCACGCAGCACGTCAATGATGCCTCCTTTTTGGGCAGGGAGGAGGGGGCAGCACCATTCTTTTTGTGTGTGACCAAGCTATCATGGACTTTGACTTAAAGCTTGGCTTTATTTTTTTAAATGTATTATTTTTCCCCATGTATCATTTCTAATATGACACTATTAAACATATGTGCTAATCTAAATAAAGGTGTCTGTATTTTCTGTAACTCCTAGTTGTTAGAGGGGAAATACTTTTTCTTTATGCTTCTGTTGGGGAAGAGGGAGAATCCTCTTCCGCCTTTTCCCTTAAGGTTCTTCTGGCTGGCCAATAATTAAAAGATAGGTTAGCAGGAGAAAATAGTACCAAGTTTAATAACATCTATACATGGGACAAACCAGGGAAACTGAGTTTCTCAACACAATAGCAGCAATTTTCATCTTAAATACCATCTTCGGCTAAAGAGAAAGGAGGATGTTGGGGGTGGGGAGGGAGACAGAAGGGAGACAGAAATCACAGTAATCAATGGTATGCAAATTTAAGTCCTCTCCTTCCGTACTGATAAGTTTCTAGAGATGAAGTCATCCCTCCTCTTCCTAGTACAGAGACGGAAATACCTTTACAAATAGAGATTTCCCTTATAAATGTAAATGTTTGTCTGGCAACTCTTTGCAGGGCCACCTAGAGAGTGTGGCCAGAGACAGACAGAATGTTTGATAAGGGGGTTTGTGGTGCCTTTACTATTGTAACATCTATTTTACATTATATTACAGCCATCATATGATAGTAACTCCTTCCTGGAACAGGTCTTCTATGTTAAATTCTTTAGGCAGTTTGGGGGAGGCCAAATGTCCGTCAGAGAAAATAATCAAGGTAAAGAGATAGATATATTTCAGGGTGGTCAATTTTGATCTCCCACACTTCCGTGTAGTGGGATTTCCCTTGAGTAGGAGTCAGCAAACTGGCCCATGACCTGTTTTTGGGTGGCCCATGAGCTAAAAATAATTTTCACATTTTCAAATGGTTGAAAAAAATCTTAAGACTATTTTGTGACACGTGGAACTTACAGGAAAGTAAGTGCGTGTTGTCTATGGTTGCTTTGTGCTACAATCAACAGAGACTGTGTCCTAAGCCCAAAATGTCTACAATCTGGCCCTTTATAGAAAAAATTTGCTGAAGCCTTGAGTAACACCCCTGGCTCCCTTCTTCCCGTGGGATGCCAGGGGTTTGGGAGGAACTGAGTATGCTCAGCTCTGCCTGCCTTCTCTCTGCAGAGACAGTAGGTACATACTAGGGCGCTCTGATATTAATGGGCAGTCTGCCCCCTGCTGGAGAAGGCCCACAGTTGGGGGAAATGCAAATTAGACTGAAAGGCGTGCGTGCTTAAGTCACATCCCCTAATCTAATGCCTATCAATAATCAGGGTGACATTTTGTATTCCATCTGTGTGACTCCTACATCACTTTCTCAGCTTTGAACTTGGGAAGAGTAAGGTGTTAGCTATTGAGTCCCTAAAACCTCACAGCCATGCCTGGCTGTTATAAGTGCTGCCACCCTGTTATGCAGCTAGTAGGGGTTGATTGGAGAGAAAGAGCTACCGGATTGGGTTAAAAGTCTTGGAATTGAAGCTTTGTTGACTTAAAAAAAAAATAGTGTATTGAGGTATAACTGACTTATAATGAACTGCATACTTAGAGTACAATTTGATTAAGTTTTGAAGTATGTACAACTGTGAAACTATGACCACAATCAAGATAAAATTTCCTTGGGATCCTTTGTCATCTCTCCCTCCCCAGACAATCACTGATCTGCTGTCACTATAGGTTAGCTTGAATTTTCTAGAGTTTCATATAAATGGAATCATACAATATATCCATTTTTGGAGACTTTTTTCTCCCTTGAACAAGTTCCCTCCTTCCCAAGTCATTTAACCTAATCCGTTAGCAACTTTGATGAGGTAAATACTTGTTGAGGTAAAGATGCTGGTAATGGGAGTAGGACTATTGTAGTTAGCAAAACTAATTAAATGGCTCCTAGATCATTCTCAGTCCTGTAAGAGCTCTGTATTCATTTAGTGAGAGACCAAAACTGTGTTTTTTTTTTTTTTTGAGGAAGATTGGCCCAGAGCTAACATCTGCCAGTCCTCCTCTTTTTTTTTGCTGAGGAAGACTGGCCCTGGGCTAACATCCATGCCCATCTTCCTCCACTTTATATGGGAGGCTGGCACAGCATGGCTTGCCAAGTGGTGCGTCAGTGCGCGCCCGGGATCTGAACCAGCGAACCCCGGGCCGCTGCAGCGGAGCGCGCGCACTTAACCGCTTGTGCCACCGGGCCGGCCCCCAAAACTGTGTTTTCTAAAGTAAATGAACCAAAGCTTTATAATCTCAACAGTGATGGCTTTCCATTACTTTTAAAAAAAGTTTTGATGTCTGAGTTAGCCTAAGACTTAGCATAAAACTTATTTGGAAGTTTCCCCAAAGCTGAAGTATTATCCTGTTGATCTTGGGGGAAAAGTGAGATGTTTCCCAGCACTTACCCTCAAGAGAGACCTGCAGTCCAAAAACTTCACTGAAAAGCAAACTAGCCATTCCAGAACGGGCATAACACATTCCAGAAGTGTTCTGCTTCTTGCTCTGGGTGCTGATTCTGGGGTATGTTCAGTTTGTGGAAATTCAGTGAGCTGTTCACTTATGCACTCACGTACCCTTTTTTGCATGTATGTTACACTTAAATGAAAAGTTAAAAAAAACCTTGCCAAGTGACTTTACTTTCAAAGCCAACTAACTATAATGGGATTTCCTTGGTGGTGATAAAACAGCTCTGTATCTTGATTGTGCTGGTGACTACACAAATCTACCTACTGATGTAATAAAACTGGGTACAACCACACACACACACACACACACAAATGAGTGCACGTAAAAACGGCTGAAATCGGCATAAAGTCTGTATTAACAGTATGTATTTCCTGGTTTTGATGTTTTGTTAGATATGTAAGATGTTAACCACTGGGGGAAGCTAGGTGAAGGGTACACAAGAATCTACTACTTTTGCAACTTCCTGTGAGTTTATGATTATTTCAAAATAAAAAGTTAAAAGATTTGTGGTATACTCCTTTCTTAGGCAGCCACATCTGCAAACCAGGTAAATTCTCAGTTTAGTTCAGCAAACGTTTAATGAGCATGACCATGGGAGAGGCTCTCCTGTAGATGCGAGGTACAAAATTTCACATGCAGGCTCCTGGCCCAAGGCACCCACTGCCCAGCAGCTCTCAGGGGAGGGAGCACCATTTACACATGTAGGAGAGGAAAAGTAATTTTCCCTCTGCCCGCCTGCGTTCTTGGCTGAGACCCCTGTAATAAAAGACAGATTAATAAGAGAAAAACAAATAGAAGTTTATGAACATGTATACCTCATGTATACATGGAAGATATGCAGGGAAAAATGAGTAACTCAAAGAGGTGGTTTAAAACTCCAGCTTATATAGCATCTTCAACAAAGAACAATAAATTTGTGGAGAAATGACAGGACAAAGGAAAGCAGTTGTAGGCTTCCAGGGGTGGAGATAAAGCCTAGTTAGTAAAATGTGTTATATAGATTCTTCTGGTGCCCTTTCCAGCCTGACACGGTCTAGAGTTGTCTCTGTGATTAAACTTTGTCCCTCCTGGGGAGTGGGGGGACACTTTTGTAAATTTATGTCCTGCTTTTAGGCAAATAGGGGGAGGGCAGAGAGCTTTTCTTGTCTCTGCCTCTTCTCGATTGCCTTCGGCTCACAATAATCCTTATGCCAAAGAGGCGTATTGGGGGTGGCATATTCTGCTACCCTTCACACATACCTGAATAGGTCTAATAATATCCAATACAAACTCAAATGATGAACTGGCAAGAAAAAAGCCACAATCAGAAACCTTAACACAGAAACAAGAAATTCTGTTAATTCAACATTTATTAATCACACACACACAACTCTGTTGACAAGACACCAATACACGTACACAATGATTAAAAACTGTTAAATGAGTAATGGGCACATGTTTGAAAAGCAAAAATGTTTACACGCTTCCCACTACAATTATTTTCAAGTTTTATCTCACAAAATATAGCACAAAAAAAATCACAGCATAAATATTATTCAAGTAAGATGCCATCTAAAATAGCTGTACCTGACTAATTAAAACCCTGGTCTCCAGCCTTCAGAGAAGGCAGTCACGTGGCACAATTTAAAGTTACTAACGTAAGTTAAGAATAAAATAGATTTATTTGCATTGTGCTTCTGATCATCATTTTCATTGAGTCTTTCCATAAGAATAAAGGTAGAAGAAACAGCAGTTGACTTAAAACCATATTTAAAAGCCACTCAAAGGGATAAAGATAACAGACGAGCTCTTTATTTATTTTTTTTGTGAGGAGATCAGCCCTGTGCTAACATCTGCCAACCCTCCTCTTTTTTTGCTGAGGAAGACTGGTCCTGGGCTAACATCCGTGCCCATCTTCCTCCACTTTATATGGGACACCACCACAGCATGGCTTGCCAAGCAGTGTGTGGGTGCACGCCCGGGATCCGAACCGGCGAACCCCAGGCCGCCACAGCAGAGTGCGTGCACTTAACCGCTTGTGCCACCGGGCCGGCCCCAGATGAGCTCTTTAAATAAGAATCACTGCCTAGCTGGGGAAGTAAATTGAGAAAGTGCTTTTTCAAGGCCAATAGATACATTATCTGGGTAATTTCACTTGAGTTATGTGATAATTGCTAGGAAATTCTCGGTGAGAACTCATTGGAACAATGCCCAGAAAAGTACTTTTTACACAGCAGGTGTTCAATAAAAAGAAATAATGCCTGACAAACTCAGAAAGGTCAGTCTCTTCCTGTTGGTGTAGATCAGGGGTTGGCAAATGTTTTCTGTAAAGAGCCAAAGAGTAAATATTTTAGGCTTCGTGGGCCATCCTGTCTCTATAGCAAATACTCAACTCTGCCAAGAAAGTAGCCACAGATCATACAGTAAACGAATGGGTGTGGCTGTGTTCTGATAAAATTTTATTTATGGACACTGAAATCTGAATTTCATATAATTTTCACGTGTCATGAAATATTATTCTTTTGATTTTTTTCCAACCACTTGGACATATAAAAACCATTCTTAGTTCCGGCTTGTACAAAGACAGGTGGCAGGCCAGATTTGGCCTGTAAGTCGTAGTTTGCCAGCTCCCAGTCTAATGGTCCTTTTCATGTTGTAAAATATATTTAAAAAAAAAAAATCCCCTCCATCACATATGGTTACCTTATTCAAAAACAGCCAAAAAAATGCTCATTGAACAACACTTCTCTTTCTTCCCCCAACCCAGAACAATTTTACTAAACAGTAAGCTATTTCCTTTTCAAATTATTTTAATTACAAAATTAATCAAAGCTATTGCACAGTCTCTGGTCTTCAATTTATCTACCCAGTGAGCCAAATATACAAGAAAACTGAAAATCTGCCACCCGACCAAGGAATCCACTGGCTTACAAAGTTACAAACTTATTTGAATGTATTCCTCCAAATACCTCCAAACATCAGTACTCCAGACTTCTAAAATATGTTAGAGCATTTTTATTGTTAATAGAAAACAGATGGACACACTGAAATTTTAAGTAATTAGAATGTTATAAAACAACCTAAAAACTAAAACAAAAAGTAGAAATTAACTGTCAACATGCTATGTATGTGATTCTTGGCAGGGCCTGGGCAATGTATGTCACTCGGAGGTGGATTTGGGCCTCGGAGATCCGGCTGGTATAATCCAGGTCAGGCAGCTCCAGGACTGGCTGTTGTTCCTGTGCACAGCGATATTCCAGAGCTTGAGTTCCTCATCCACAGCTGCCCCACGGCTCAGGGAGGAGTGCTAAGTACTGCGTGGGGTTCAGGAGCAATTGCCTCTAGCACTACTTTCTCTCACGTTTTCCTTCCACTACCCAGAATAATCACAGAATGTCACAGATTCCGCACATGAGAAAGTAGGAAAGGAAGGAGCTTCGTCTCTGCCTATTCAGCCTGGAACAGCCTTTATTCCTCTTCCTCAGTATATCAGGACAGATGGGCGACATATGAGAAAAGCCCAGAATTGTCTTAATCAGAGTTTTTCTTTGGAGTGACAGGAAACACCGGTCATAGGGTTTTTCTTTTTGTTTTTTAAAACGATGAACTGTAAAAACTCGTACTGGATAAGAGATGCCTGAAATTCAAGGCTTCATGCCTCTCCCACAAGGTGAATTGGCCACGATGGAAATCCTTTTTCCTTTTGAGATTACGGTGGGGAAAGCGCTTTTGCTCTTTTGGGGGTGAAGCAGCAGCCCCTCATGAGGACAGAAAGAGTAGGCCGCAGGGGACAACCACTTACTCAGGCTCAGGTGGGTGGGCGGGTGGGCTTTCTTTTGGCAAAGCCACTGCTGGATGCCCAAGCAGGGCTGGGTGGTGCTGCTCATAACAATAATGGCTCCTGTACTTACACTGAATTTTCATTTTTTTGCAAATACTGGTACTTTTTCTTAGGCTCACAGTATCCCATCGAGCTATATAAGGTATCCAGACTCTCCACTCGACATGAGGGAGGGCAGCTGCTGAACGGCATGTCCACAGAACAAAGCTACCACTCAGTGAAGGAGCCATCCTGTGTGGGCTGCCATTCTACCAGGCTGCCTCTGCTGCTCTTTGCTTTACACTTGGGCTTGTTTCCTAAAGGAAACAAGATGAAATGGAAAACAGGACAGAAATGAAAATATAATCTTTAAGCAGTAAATTTAGGACAATGAAGACTTCAGGTTAAAAAATCGTCCAGAGCCAGTCCTGATGGCGTAGTGGTTCAAGTTCAGCGCTCTCACCACTTCAGTGGCCTGGGTTCATTTCCCCATCATGGAACCACACCACTCATCTGTCAGTAGCCATGCTGTGGCAGTGGCTCACATAGAAGAACTAGAAGGACTTACAACTAGAATATACAACTATGCACTGGGGCTTTGGGGAGGGGAAAAAAAAAAAACGAACACAGGAAGATAGATTGGTAATAGATGTTAGCTCTGGGTGAATCTTTCCCAGCAAAAAAAATAAATTAATTAAAAATAAATTAAAAATCATCCAGAAAAAGGGAGAAGTGCCCCTTCACTCCTCACAGAAGCACAGACAATTCTGTGCTATTTCAGAAGTCTTAAAAATGATTAATTCAACCTCTGCAGCAACACCTCTGAATACACAGCATCTTTAGTGCTGAGCTGGCAGATTGCCAGGGATCCTGTGCCCCTCACCAGCCCGTCAGTCATACTCAGGGGTCTCCCCTGCAGCCCTCTGGGTCTAAGCTCCAGAGCCACGTGGGAGATGGTCGTGTCAGTGCCCATGGGCACTGATCAAGCCCTTGTGATGAGGCTGCAGGGGCCAGCCTGCCTCACGCTGCATCTTGCTCTGAGGCAGATGGGGTTATGGTGGTGTCCCAGGGCTTCATTCTATAAATCTAATGCTGGTTTTCAGGAATTCTGCAGCCACAGGCACGTGGCATCTATTGGTCCCTAGTGAGGTAAGGGGAGGGGCATCTGCTTAAGATTACGAGGACCGGATGAGCTTTAAAAAATTCGTAATTCAGGTGACCTACAAGTTTACTTAAAATAATGGATGGCATGTCCTCATATATGTAGATAAGCTTTCTTTTTTTATTTTTTAAAGAACCGAAGAATCCTACAAGCCTCCCAAACACACATACTTGAGTTCCAGATACTCATCAATGCCATACTTGGACCCCTCTCGCCCAAGGCCAGACTGTTTCACCCCACCAAACGGGCACTCCACAGTGGAGATCAAGCCTTCGTTAACGCCAACCATGCCAACTTCCAGCTGTTCTGCCACCCTCCAGATCTGGGCCGGGTCTTGAGAGTAAAAATAACCTGTCATAGAGATAAAGGACATAGATGGCTCGTAGAATAGTCATTAAAGAAATCAGGTCTGGGGCCGGCCCCGTGGCTTAGCGGTTAGGTGTGCGCGCTCCGCTATTGGCGGCCCGGGTTCAGATCCCGGGCGTGCACCGACACACTGCTTCTCTGGCCATGCTGAGGCC